AGTCAAACGACCACCGGGAAGGAAGATTGTGACAAACAAGTGGATCTACAAGAAGAAGGAAGGAATCAGTTCTGGAGAGGGCATTAAATTTAAAGCTCGGGTGGTTGCACGAGGCTTCTCGTAGAGGGAAGGAGTTGACTACAATGAGATTTTCTCACCAATGGTCAGACATACTTCGATCAGAGTGCTACTAGCAATAGTGGCACATTATGACTTGGAGCTCGAGCAGCTAGACGTGAAGACAGCTGATAGACCGTCATTTACACATGTTTTTACCCTCATACTTGCACCGTTTGAGGTGTTAATCCTCGTGTTTTAGGCCGATTTCACGCTAGGTTGTGCTTGTTTGTGATATTTCAGGTCCTAGTACGTGAATGAAGGCTTAGGAGCGAGTCTGGGGTCGATTGGGCGAAGAACGGACGAATGGCGACCTTTTTGGGGAGCTGCACGGGCAGACCATGGGGCTGCACGGCCGTGCAAAGTGCAACTCTGGCCGTGCACCTTGTGCCGAGGCCACGCACGGGCAGGCCCTGAAGATTGCACGGCCGTGCACCTGGCCGTGCAAGAAGCCTGAGGCCGACTAAATGGTACGGCTGCGTTTTGGACTCGCACGGCCAGAATGGTGATGTGCACGGCCGTGCACCCTGGCCGTGCAAGTCGGGAAAGCCTGTTTTAGAGCCTATTCCAAGCCAGAAGGGGGAGAATCGTGTTTTCAGAGCAAAAACAGAGCCCTAGAGAGAGAAAGTGCGTAGAACACATCCTAGAAGCTGTCCTAGAGCTGGATTTCATCGAATCGAGCCTGGAGATCGTCATAGGAGTGAAAATCATCGTCCCGGAGCATATTATCCTCATCGTTATGAGTATGACTAATCCGATTCTTGTTTTCTCTTCTCTCTCTATGGAGTAGAACCCTTCTCTCACTTGGGTATGAAGAACCCTAGTTCCTTGTGTTAGGGATTTGATTGTAATGACTTGGAATGATATTATTGTTTGATTTTAATCGAATGACGCATGTTTATTGAATTGATTTGAGTCTGATCAACTTTTCTCAATTTCTGCTGCAACCTGAGATAGATAGAATCTGATTAGGTTGTTAGAGCCTCTTCATTCGATAGTAGGAGATTGGCTATACGAGAGTTAGCCAGTTTACTGCTTTGTACTGGTGCTCTTGGCGCCAGTAGTGGAGTTCTGTGTTCATAACCTCAGCTTTCTATCCCGGTGAAGACTAGTCGTCTGCCGGGTAGTTAGACTGAGAGGGCTTGGTCAGCTTAAGAGATTCCAAGCTACTGTCGGATCTTCCGCAGTCTAATCAACAGTAAATCAACCCAGGGAATTGCAATTGAACCTAACTAAGGGGCTAGGGGGACTCAATCCCGAGTGACTCTTACCTGCTTTAGAAACCGAACAATTTACTGCTTTCTTGTTGCTTTTACTTTTCACAACAATCACTCGAACTAGTTTGCTAGATAATAGAGAATCACGGAGTAAGCAGTAGATCTAGACCCCAGGTTGATAATTAAACTTGCCTGTTACTGCATTCCCGGACTGCGATTACACTTGGTCGCAGTTTGGTGTTGTGTTTTGGCGTGTCAACGGCTTTCCTACATGGAGAGTTGGAAGAAGAAATTTACATGACTCAGCCAGAAGGATTCGAGGTTCCGGGAAAAGAAGACTATGTTTGTAAGCTGAAGAAGTCCTTGTATGGACTTAAGCAGTCTCCGAGGCAGTGGTACAAAAGATTTGACGGTTACATGCTTGAGCTGGGCTACAACAGAAGTCCATATGATTGTTGTGTGTATCACAATAAGGTGGTGGATGGTTCGATGATCTATCTTTTTATGTATGTGGATGATATGCTCATAGTTGCGAGGTTGAAGTCTGATATCCAAAAGTTAAAGGGGCTTCTCAGTGCTGAGTTTGAGATGAAGGATTTGGGAGCTGCTCAGAAGATCTTGGGTATGGAGATTTACAGGGACAGGTCGAAGAAGAAGCTTTTCTTGTCACAGAAGAGCTACATCCAGAAGATACTGTCGAGCCCTTAAATACTCGTAGTGCTTCAAATGTCCATCTATCCTCAGCTTATGCACCGCAGTCAGAGGCTGAGAAGGAGTACATGTCGAGAGTCCCATATGCTAGTGCAGTAGGTAGCTTGATGTACGCTATGGTATGCACTAGACCTGATCTTGCACATGTTGTTAGTGTTGTCAGCAGGTTCATGATACAACCTGGGAAGGAGCATTGGCAGGCTTTGAAGACGATCTTCCGGTACCTTAAGGGTACACCTGATGTGGGGATTACCTTCGGAAGTGATGCAGAGTGCTTGCTGTCTGGGTATTCTGACTCGGACTATGCTGGAGATGTTGACACGAGGAGATCGATGACCGGTTATGTATTCACTCTTGGGAGTTCTGTAGTGAGCTGGAAGGCAACTCTGCAGTCGGCGGTGACATTGTCTACTATTGAGGGAGAGTATATGGCGTTGACAGAAGCTGCTAAGGAGGGAATATGGTTGAAGGGATGGTTGGTGATCTGGGTCTACATCATGATCAGGCAGTGGTGTATTGCGATAGTTTGAGTGCAATATGCTTGGCCAAGGATCAATTCCAGCATGAGAGGACTAAGCACATCGACGTGAGGTATCATTTCTTGAGGACAGAGAACAGGATTAAGGTGAAGAAGGTTGGCACCGCGGATAATCCTGCTGATATGTTCACGAAGCCGGTTCCCCATGGCAAGTTCCAACACTGCTTGGACTTGTTGAATGTCTTGAGTGGGTGACTCCGCCCTGTGGGGCATTGATGGCGGGAGAGAGAGAGAGAAGGAGCAGAGTACATCAGAGATTTCAGAGGAAGAGGATTCAAGGCAAGGTGGAGATATGTTGTTGTGACTTGAATCGGACTATCACCCGCTACGACTGGTAGTCGGGGTATCGATGCCCGGTCAGCGAGTGGGGTCCAGGGCAACGCCCCCGGCCCGCGGTGTATTGGCTCAATGTTATTTGGGTTCGGGTTCTGGGCGTGGTCTGTAACCGTTTCCTTTGCCAGATTGGATTAGGTTTAGACCCACATGGAGAAGTACTATAAATACTTCTCATACTCCTCTGTAATCTGTAATCTCCTCGATATAGTGAAACTGGCTCTCTCTCGCCCGTGGACTAGCTAACACACATCGTGTTAGTGAACCATGTAAATCGTGTGTTTGTGTTTTTCGATTCTCGCTCTCGTATTCTTACTTTATTGATTCCGACGATTTCCCGATCCGTAGCAGTGCGTTTATAACATTATCTAAACTCTATGCACTCATATTTTACATAGTTTATGCCGTACTTAACAAATTTTTAACTATTACACAAGATGCATAAAAAATTTACGCTTTTACGTTTTAGTTCACCGCTTTTCGATTTTATCCCTTTTCCACTTTTAGGTAGAATCGCGCTTTTGATTGCATTGATTTTGCCTATTAAAAAATGAGAAAAGTATATTTCGAGGGCTAAAATTGAAAAAAACAATGTAAATAAGCAAACGACGTCGTGTTGTTGGGAAGACGGGGCCGCCGCCTGGGCCTAGCTGGTGGCTTGGTGAGGAAGGCGGAGGGAGGGGGGCGGAATTAGGAAAACTGGAAAAGAGGAAGAAATCAGAAATCTCATTGAATGTGTTGATAGATAGATAACACAATCACTTATACCTCTTCCTCTCCTCTTATTTTCCCCTTTTCATCCCTCGGTTTCTCTCTCTATTTTCCCCTTCTACCAAACAATACTATACGAAAGACTAACCCTAACTTCCCCCCTTTTGTGATGATTTTATCTGATTGGAGTAGATCTCATTGGGTTCTAATACCGTCGTCAGGTGCGTTCTCTTACTCTCCGTCCCTTGTTTTCCTCCTTCGAAGAATGTTTCTTGGCTTGCTGAATTTCTCGCTTGTGATAATTGAAAATCTGAGGTCTGCTGATTGATAGTTTCTGAGCGGAGTACGTTGTTGGTGTCGCGTTAGCGGATCAGCCGACATTTTGAATGTTTCTGCAGCTGCTCTTTTTTTTTTATTTGTTTGATGATTTTCTGTTTGGATGTCGTGAATTCCTCCGTGGAGGCGACTGGAGACGATTTTATTGGAAAGAGGATGTTCTTACCTTTCCCCAATTGCTCTTAGTTTGTTCCCTTGGATTTCCTCCCCTGTGTTGGAACCTGTTCTTTCTGATGCGCTGACATGCGAAATTGGAAGGTATCGGTAGTCTTAAGTTGCACCGATGGTGTTTTTATGAATGGAGATTGGAGTAATTGGTGGCCTTTCTCTAATTCTTGTTTTCATAATGGGGTTATTAGATGTTGTGAGTGAATTTGGAGTTTTGTACGTGTAATAGAAAGCTGACCCCATTGCTAGAATGGAGTTCCGTGCGCTAGTTTAATATCTGCGTTATTATTTGGAATTGTTAGAAGGGTAACTTCACTTTTCTGTATCCTCGAGCTGGTTTGATGCCTACACTGGACTCCTGTCTTGTGGGTCTTTGGCGGATGAGTTGTGTGAAGTTGTGGTAATTGTTTTGGCAGTTTCTAATACGCTAGCAGGAGAAGTTTTTGTAAATTAAGCACCAACTTCATAAAAGGAAAAACAAGAGAACATGAAGCGGATTGGGGGATGTATGGCAGCCATCTCTGTGTAGTGATGTTTTGATTTGTGTTCTCATTCCTGGTCATTTGCAGCAGGCGCTCTTTGGCCCCTTATTTCCTGTGATTTGCAGCAGAGGCAGAACACCTTGTCATTTACTGCCTAATGTCAATAATGCGTGTTTGATGCTTTTGTTTCATTGTTATAACTGATCTGAACTTTGTTTTTGCTGTGTTATCTAAACTCTGTTTGCTGCCTTTTTTGTCTTGATTAATTTATTCCAAATCTCATGACTGGATACTATATCACATTAGTTAAAGACCCTTCTTGGTAATGTTTTTGGATATTCTTCAGATTGAAGGCAATAGCAAGTGGCCCAATATAATTGATGGACAATGATTGTGCAGATGGATAAAATGTCTGCTCCTCCTTCTCGGGATCGTGCTCAATGTCTGTATGAGAAGGTAGACTTGTGGATATATTTGTGCATGCTGGTTTTTTTTATAAATATTATTCGTTTGTTTATTAAGTGCTTTGCTATCTTCGAACATTGAGTTGGAGAACAAACGAAGGAGGTCAGCTCAGGCACGGGTTCCATATGATCCCAATGCATGGCAACAAATGCGCGAGAACTATGAAGCTATAATTCTTGAGGATCATGGTTTTTCCGAGCAGCACAACATAGAATATGTGTTGTGGCAATTGCACTATAGGCGTATTGAGGAACTGAGAGCTCACTATAATGCTGCCCTTAATGTTGCTGGCTCAAACTCATCTAAGGTTCCTACCCGCCCTGATCGTGTCTCAATTACAATTTAAAACATTTCTTTCTGAAGCAACTGGGTTTTATCATGACCTGATTTTGAAAATCAGAGCCAAGTATGGGCTTCCCCTGGGTTTCTTCTCAGATGGCAGGGATGGCAGAGTTGTTATGGAGAAAGATGAGAAGAAATCTCCTGATATCAAGAAAGGATTGATTTCTTGCCACCGGTGTTTGATATACCTGGGTGATCTTGGGAGGTACAAAGGACTATATGGAGATGGTGATGCTAAAACACGCGAGTATGCTGCTGCTTCGAGTTACTACTTGCAGGCTGCATCTCTTTGGCCATCAAGTGGCAATCCACATCACCAGGTTGAATTTGGATGACTAGTTTTTGTTTGATATGCTAGGTCTATTTTCGAGGCTATGATTTTGATGAACGTTGAATATTTTTTTAGCTTGCTATTGTGGCATCATATTCTGGTGATAAGGTGGGGGCAGTGTACCGTTACTTTAGGAGCCTGGCAGTTGATAATCCTTTTATGACAGCACGAGATAGTCTGATTGTTGCTTTTGAGAAGGTATCTTCTTTTTCCTCTACTATGACAGCATGTTTCTAAGCTGTGCTGAAGTCTTGGATACACATGGCTTTAGAGAGTGTGCAGCCATTTGTTTGTGGCCTTTCTTGTGAGATGTAAAGGGGAGCCAAAAGGTGGATCTAAAATTCCATGTGTTGAAGCTGATGGTTCCAGGGAGAAGGAAACTGATGTTAATGAGATTCGTAAATTATTTTGCATTCGATTTATCCGTCTAAATGGCATTCTTTTCACCCGCACGAGGTAATTCATTTTTCACATTGTCAGTTACCATTCTTAGTTTGTATAGCTTTTCCAGTAAACTTAGTATATGATCGGATGTGTAGCTTGGAGACATTTACAGAACTTCTCGCATCAGTCAGTAGCACTTTCCTTGAGCTTCTATCCTCTGTTCCGGAAGGGAAGTCAAATTTTGGAGCAGACACTGTTGATAATGGACTTTTTATTGTTAGATTAGTCTCTATCCTTGTATTCACTGTTCATAATGTTAAGAAAGAGGCTGAAGGTCAGAGTTATGCAGAGATTGTGCAGTGTGTTGTTCTTCTTCAGAATGCATTTACTGCTGCTTTCGAGTTAATGGGACATGTATTGGAGAGGTGCGAGCAACTTAATGATCCTTCTTCAAGTTACTTGTTACCTGGAATTCTGGTATTTGCGGAGTGGTTGGCATGTTGCTCTGATATTGATGGAAGTGGTGATGCAGATGAGAAAATGGTTGCCATAAGGTCCAAATTTTGGAGGTGCTGTATAGCTTTCATGAACAAGATCTTGTTCTTTTTGCCAATATCCCTTGATGATAATGAAGACGATACGTGCTTCAATAACATGATCCGGTATGAAGATGGGGAATCTTGGAACATGCTTGCTTTATGGGAAGACTTAGAGTTGAGAGGGTTTTTGCCATTTGTCCCTGCACAATCCATTTTGGACTTCTCCAGGAAATACCAATTTGCAACTGACGGTTCTCAGGAAAGGATGGCTCGCATTAAGAGGGTTCTTGCTGCAGGGAAGGCATTAGCAAACCTGGTGAAGGTTGACCAGAAACCAGCCTCCTTTGATTCTAAGATGAAGAAATTCGTTATAGGTGTTGTGCCTCTTGTTTCTGGTGATGATGCCTTGTTCAACGCTGATTCTGGAATGTCAAAAGCAACTAACTTGATACAGGAATATAGTCCTGAGGAAGCTATCAGTTTTGGAGCCTTGAATACAAACCCCCAGCGATGTGTGGAAGGAGAAGAGGACGACGAAGTAATTGTTTTCAAGCCCTTGGTGACTGAAAAGCAAAATGGTGGTTTAAACCCAAAGCCTACTCCTCACGAGAGCTCAAGGCCCATTAGAAACCTTTCTGCTGCTGATCCACAATTTTGTGGTGGCTCTGTCTCTGCCGCGATCGATAATGAGCTCATTCCTGCTGCTTTCAACGGACATCCTCAAATATCAACATCTGCAGGTGTAGTTGGCACTCAGCATCTATCAGCAATCCATCCTCCATCTACTTCAAAGTGGCCGAGGGAGGAAGCTGCGCTGCTTGCTAATAGCATGAAAAGTGTCAGGTTCAGGGAGAATGGGCACGCAGCTGGCTATGAGATGCAGAAAGATTTCCGTGTAGCCCATTTGCCAGTGTCTACCTCCGTTCCAATGCAACCACCACCTGTGAATTTTGGTACTACTGGCATGATCTCGAATAAAATAAAAGTTCCATATGCAACCATTCTGTCCAAGGTTGATACTATTAATTCTTCTGGAATGTACCCTGAAAGTTTTGATGTGCAGGCATTAGCTGGCATGGAAAATGGTTTTAGGAGGAGCCCTATAAGCCGGCCTGTGAGGCATCTTGGCCCTCCACCTGGTTTTACTTCTGCCCCACCGAAGCAGGTGACTGAATCTTTTTCTGGTTTAGATTTGACTACCGAGAATCCTCTAGCAGATGATTATAGCTGGTTGGATGGCTATCATTTGCCGTCTTCAACCAAAACCTCAAGGTTTAGTGGTTCAACCAGTCTCTCTTCCTATCCCACACTTCAATATGCCAGCATCAATAATGGATCAACAGGGGCAGACAACTTTCCATTCCCTGCAAAGCAGCTGCCAGGATCTTAGGTACAGTTGGAGCAGGAAACAGGTTGGGAGAATTTTCAGGCTTTTGAGAATTTAAGAGCCCAGCAACAGCAGCATCTGCAGCAACAACAACTCTTGAATGGAAATCAGCAATTTACGACAACGCATGTGCAGTTTGATGGACACTCCATGTGGAACGGGCGCTATATCGTGTGAGATTGGTGTGAAGCAGATATGGGGAAGATGAAAAGTTTGGAACTCCAGGTGGATATGCCTAAGGGTGGTTTTATGGGCTTTCTTTCTTGAAGTTGCTATGAACTGATCTCTTTTCTTAAGAAGGTTCTAAGAATTGGCTTTCGTGAATCTTGCAGTATCCTTTTGCTACCGAGTGTGCACTCCGACTTTGCAGCTGTATCAAATTTCCAATTTCAATTTTTGTTGGAGGATGGGTGGCCTTGGCTCCTTGCTTGGCTCTTGCCACTAGACAGGTGTGTTTTATTCCATCTTTCACTGGTATACAATTCAAATGGTATTGAGCTGTGGTTTGGATCTTCTGACTTTTATGTCAATGTATACTTATCTTGGGATCCTTTCTGTTTTTATATCTCTCCTTTATATTACCAAGCCACAAGCGGATTAGGATAATTTTCAATATTTTTGTTTTCATGAAGTACCATTTGCTTGTATCTGGCTGCATGGAACCAACTGCCATCTTTCTCCAACACTTCTGTTTTAAAGATAAACTTGCTTGAATGGCCCTGAAATGTTTTTTCGTTGCAGCTTATGTGTAGCTTCTGGTGGACGGTTTGTGGTTATCATCTTTTTGTTACCTTTATATATTCATATAGGAAACTCTTGATTTTTTGGGGTGGCTTCATTAGAATATATTGTAAGGGGTCCTGGGTAGATTTGTATGAATAACTCTTGTCCTCTATTGATATCACTCAGAAATAAAAAAAATATTCATATAGGAAAACGATTGAATGACCATGAAAAGATGAATTCTTGCAGTCTATGGGTTGTCGCCGCATTATCCATTTGTTTATTTTAGATTTCAAAATTTGCTTGTTACACTGTATTGAGTTTGTTCTATTACGGATCTTGATAGGTTTTGCTGATCTATCTGCCAGGAGAAGACAAATATTTGCAACATCGTCTATGAAATGGAACTTTCAAGAAGTAGAAGCCTTATTTGGTTACTTGGGTTTGGAGATAGAGTCGAGCTAATAAGATCAGTTTGAACGTTGGGCCTAATATTTGGAAGGAAGAATTGGTGAGATAAAAACCACGTGGTTTCCCTTCTACGCCAAACTGTTGGGCTGCTCTAGGTAGTTGTCTAAGGTGCTGGATTGTATCATCTTGACAACTGAATTTGGGACATGGCGAATGTGAGTGGAATCTTTGGCATGTCGCTTTCAGATCTCCAAATACTGGATGGGTGCCTAGGTATGTCCTCAATATCGCAAGTTTGTCTGTGGCATGGTGAAGAATGGTGGAAGCCTGATCGTATGTTGAGGTCCGGGGAGTTAATTATATGTACCATTTCCCCCTTTGTGTAGTGGGATTTATAGCTCAATGTGGAGGGGTGGCTTTTGAATATGCGTGTGCGGGACTGTCGTAGTACCCACGACTTCCTGGAATAAAAGGCGTCTGGAGATATGGTTATGCCAGGGGAATGGTTTCTCTCTGGAGTGTCGGTATTACGTTATTTTGTTGATGGGTCTAGTAGATTTCCTTATGTATAAGTGTCTGTTTACAACTGATGTACAACTTATTATGTTGGGGGACAGTTCTGATTTCAGTTGTGTAATTTCTGTTTGCATAGCTGCTGGCAGTCTGATAAGAGACCTTTCTCTTGGTGCTCCGTTTGTTGTGGTTGGTATCTAATTGTGGTTCTTGTTTTTGTTTTTCTTGTTGTTCGAAGTTATATACAGATGGTGATGGGTTAAGTGCCAATGAATTTGCAGTTTATCAGGCTTAGTTAGGCCTTAGGCTTTGGAAAAAATCCAAAACTACCACTGTTAATTTTTTTTACAAAAATACCACCCATTCCCAAGAATTTCACAAAATATCACCGTTTTTAAAAACCGCACCTCTAAAGGGCGGTTAATATAGAAACCGCGGAGGCGTGGTTGCATGTGCCACCACATGGAGGCGTGTTTTGACAGCTACGAAGGGTCAAACTGCCCCTTGTCCGCGCGGTTTGACTGAGAATCGCGCCTTTGATGCGCTGTTTATGGGGAATGGTGGTATTTTTGGAATTTTTTAAAAAACAGTGGTAGTTTTGAATTTTTTTCCTTATGCTTTAGGCTCTTGCTTGGGGAGTTTTGAGCTCTTAAATGATTCTGCTGCGTTCGTATGGCTTTTTTTTATGGTATAGCTGAGTTCGTATGGTCATTGCAAGATGATATACTTAGTTGTGCCCTCCGGTTTTCGAGTTCGAAGGCAAGTTCATGGGTTTCCTTACGGTGATTGGCTGGCTAGTACACTGTTTAGGCTAGTAGGTTCATTAGAAGTTCAGAATTGTTACCTTGGAAAATTTCACGTGTCTGCATTGCCTTGATGTTTGTCGGAGCAGAGTAGGAGCAGGAGCAGTTGGAATTTAGAATAGAGCGCCATTTGACACTCTTTTCTATTAAGGATGTTATTAATCGCTTGCAGTCGTGCACAATTACGTAGAAAATATATAATGTGAGGTTGAGTATGTAATAATTTTTTGAAAATAAATATTCATAATGCAAATTATGAGAGATGTTAAGATACTGAGCGAAAAAATTGTTTATGATTCTTTACTTTGCTTATTGTAGTAAGTGCTTGTTCAACACTAATAGCAACATACACAACTAAACTCACTTACATAATACATGAAATAAAAGTTAAATAGAGACCCTAATACATTACTTTTGGTAAAATTATCTACAATAATATGGAAATATTGTATTCAATCCACAATCAAATTAATAAATGTACTCTACATTGTTTTGGGTCAAGATGGTGTAGATGGCCCACCTTGACATCAAGTGGCTTCGTTATTGATCATGCACTAGGGTTGTAGATGAGTCGGGTGGTTCAGATTTAGTCATTTTAACCATCCGACTCAGACACTATGGTTTTGAAAATACCAAATTCAAACTCACACAAAAAATTTAGAACCCTACTATTTTTTTAAAGTTAAGTTGGGTTGGGATGATACTTTTAATTAGTATAAACACTAATTATTAGCTAACCTTTCATGCATTCTTTTTTATTAGCCAAACCTATTAAATTTATAATAATTAGTCAAATGTTAACTTACTGTTAGCAATTTTGTTAGTAATATTGATTTAACAACATGATACTGACTGGGAAGTGGCACATGGAAGTCAACATTCCCAAATTTTAGTATTATAACTAATAAAAAGCTACCAACTTATTATCGATAACATAAAATGGCTAATATTTTGATCCATTACAAAATATTTGACTAATTATTAGAAATTCAATAGGTTTGGCTAATAAAAAGAATGCGAAAAAGGTTTTGCTAATAATTAGTGTTCACCCTTTTAATTAAAAATCCAATCCAACGCGTAAAAAGACAAATATTCTACACCCCCAAATATTATATAAATAATTAAACTTTTAGGCAAATAAATCGAGCGAAATGTATCAAAATCAGTGTTATTAAAGCCGAGCCGAGCCGCTCGGCCCGACCGGTAAAACCGCCACCCGGTCACAAAACCGGCTAAGCACAGTCTAAAAGCCGCTCCGGTTTTATGTAGCTGTTGGCGAGCGGTCGAGGCGGTTAACCGTTCGAGCCGATTGAGCCGCTCGTCCGGTTTTTGCCATTCAGCCACTAAATTTAATTAAAAATTGCAAAAAATTAAAAATTGAAATAATCCAAAAATGTAGTGCTCTCAAACTGAATCTTTATTCTCATTTCACAATTTCGAAGGAAAGAGATGAGCTCTGATTAAGAAATGTCCTCTATTTATACTGATAACGTTTATTAGGTGCCGGTTAGGGGTGGCATTTTGGTTATTTTGGTTATAACCGATCAGCCGGTTATCGGTTAACCGAAATAACCACTCCCCCTACCGAAAACCGCCCGAAATAGGCTTCGGTTTCTCGGTTATCGGTTAACTGACCCACTTTTAAGACCAAAAACCTTTTCGTCTAGCCTGCGATAACCGACCGAAGTTCGGTTATTTCGGTTACCGGTTAGTGGATAACCAGCCGGTTATCGGTTTAACCGGCCGGTTAACGGTAACTGAACTGCCACCCCTAGTACCGGTTCTCTAATGGTTTTTAAACGGTCTAAAACCGGTTGGACCACTAAAGTGCAAGTCGTTCGCATTACCGGATCATGCTCCGGTTCGGTTCTGACAACATTGATCAAAATGCATAAATAGTATTTGCATTTTAATGAAATACAATTTGCTTGAAAAAAGTCTTGTTTTTCTCACAAATATTTGTCAAAATAAACTAAAACGATTATAAGTGAACGCATTCATAATGTATTGGATTTTGCTACGGTGACATGCATGTCACGGTGACATGCACTTTTCGGTCGACCTCATATAGGATCAGGTCGACCTAATCAGTTGTTTCAGTGTACAAACAGTTTCATAGTGTCTACTTTGGAGATTCATATCTTACAATTGGCTAGATGGAAATTGGAGATTAAAGGCTTGTTTTGAAGCTGAAGTGTCCCTCTACACATTAAAGTACTTGGGAGCTCAATAGAAAGTCCAGAAGATCATTTTTGAACCTGACCAAAAGGCTATGCCAAAACTGGGAAACTGCCCGAAAATGGCTAAGTCTGGCAACGTGTTTGTCAAGCCTACTTTGGAGCTCAATTTGACAAGCATGGATCCGAGTCAAGTCCAGGGGCCTTTACCACGTTAAATTACGTATTTTTTTATACAAAGGCAAGACATTGAATGAAAGATTGAATATCTTTAAGGCTTCAAACAAAAGGCTCGAAGTTGCTACGAAGGCTGTTTTTCTGGCAGCTTGCTTGTGCTCGAAGTCTGCCAGAAAAACAGTCTTCATAGCAACTTCGACCCTTTTGTTTGAAGCCTTAAAGATATCCAATCTTTCATCCAATTCCTTGAATTTGTATAAAAACATACCTAATTTAACGTGGTAGAGGCTCCTGGACTCGACTCGCATTCATGCTTGTCGAATTGAGCTCAAAAATAGGCTTAACAAACACGTTTCCAGACTTAGACATTTCTAGGCAGTTTCCCAGTTTTGGCATAGCCTTTTGATGAGGTTCAAAAATGGTCTTCTGGACTTCCTATCGAGCTCTCAATCACTTCAATATGTAGAGGGACACTCCAGCTTCAAAACAAGTCATTAGTCTTCAATTTCCATCTAGCCAATTGTATGATATGAATATCCAAAGTAGGCACCATGAACTGTTTTTACACTGAAACAACATATTAGGTCGACCGGATCCTATATGAGGTCGACCGAATCCTAAATGAGGTCGACCGGATCCTATATGAGGTCGACCGAATTCTATATGAGGTCGACCTAATCCTAACTGAGGTCGACCGGAAAGTGCAAGTCACCGTGACATGCATGTCACCGTAGGCACACCCTAATGTATTATTCTTCTAAAGGTGGCGTCTTCGGTGCACTCACTTTTTTGGGTGCATTCAGTGCACTCGCTTCATAACCGTCATTTTAAACATGAGATTTATGTCAAAATGATGTCAATCATCACTTATGACGTGATGAACAATAACGCACTTGAATTTGCACAAAAACCATTAAAGATTTACATTAATTTGAAGGATTTAGAGTTTAGAGATTTAGGGGTAGGGTTTACAATTTGGGGTTTCGGGATAGAACTCAAAATTGGAGGTCTAGAGCTTAGGGTAATCCGCTAATTAGTTGTTATCATATGTTATATAATCATATTACACTAATTCTACAAATTAAAATTCAAAATCCGACACCTTAAGACTAGTTTTTGAGTTGGGTGCATTGAACACACTCATTTTAGTGAGTGCACCAAAGTAGTCACCTTCTTCTAAAATTGTACACTAAAAAAATTATGTTAATTGTAGCCTATATTAAATACACGTCTAAATTTTAAGGAGAAGAATTCATTACGTTAGAGAAATCACAAGAGAAAAATATGATAAAATATCTTAAATTTATTACAAACATATTTTGGATACGAACATTTGTGATAATAGTTGGAACACGGGTTGAGTCGGATTCTACAGGCTGCGTAACCCAAAATCCTCACCCAACCAAATAGAGGCGGGTTGTACAAAATAAAACTCTCACCCAACCTTGAATCTTAATTTTAGCAATAAATACAGGTGGGTTGGGTCAGGTTGGACAGGTGGGTCGATTTGCGAGTTGTTTTGTTCACGCCCATCGTGCACCAAAACAAGCTACGAGCATTTGCAGGTTTTTTCTTTGTACAGATCTCTAGGTCTTCGGGTGAAAGAGCAAGAGTTGGAACGATGTCGTCTGACCGAGAGCTAGGAACCTAGGATCAGAGGCGGAGCTAGCATGGAGTAAGGGGGTTACATGAAAA